TAATAATAATAATAATAATAATAATAATGATGATGATGCACATGTACAACCAGATTTGTAAATATATCTTATTCATCAGTTGCATATTGGTGAAATTCCTACAACTATATATTTTTACAACCTTCTGCAACTCACACAGAAGAGGACTGAGAAGTCAGCCTTGTGGACCTCCATCTTTGACTTTATGAGTTTTAAAGCAGCCAAACAGAATCTGAGAAAGACTCAAAGCAACTGACATGTTTAAAAAGATAAATAATAATCATTAAACTCTCTCACAAACTCTGTCCTGATTTTTAAAACAAATTTCTTCTTTAAGTAAAGGGTGATGACTGACACCAGTGCAAAAAATATATTTATTTTTTTAAAAAGTAAAAATTGAGCTGTCTGCATTAATGTGTGCACCGTGCATGATGTAGAGACAACAGCCTATAACTTGTCAAGTTCTGCTTAATCTTTGTTCCTCCTCTTATTCAGGAAGTGATTTGAAAGAAGACAAACGTCCCACCAGCAGTGTCTCTCACACTCAGGAAGATGTCTGAAGCTGATGTAAACTACAGTGAAGTCAACTTCACCAAAAACAAGCACAAAGGTGAGTTATTTTAACGTTTAAACTTATATTTTGACACTTTTTAATCTAATGTTTCATGTTTACTGTGCAGGAGACACTCCTTCAGCTGAAACCGTTTATTCTGAAGTCAAGTTTTCTAAATCAGAGCAGTCAGGTTGGAGTAAAATCTTTATTTTTATTTTTTGTGTGGAAGAAAATGTTGAAAGATTTTGTGTCGTTGGCAGAAAATTAGACTGTTGATCTAAATTTATTCCAGTAAATATGAACGTGTTATAATTTGTAATGCCAGATTTTTTTAATTGATGTTTTTTTAAGTGAGGTTTGAATGACAAAAGAGGTTTTCACCATAAACAGACATTTTCTAATGAGGAAGTGACTTTTCAAAGGACTTTACACCTCTAAAAGTTCCCAGTTCATGTGCAATAATTTGTTCTGATGTAACTTCCTGTTCGATGGTTGGATAATCAATTGTTTTTCTTCTTTATGTTTGATGGTTCTTACCGTTTGTTCTGTTCTGTAAAGTAATTTAAAGTTTCAACCAGTGGCGTCACTAGGCCTATTTTAGGGGGGCTATATATATATATATATA